AGGAAGAATATTCAGACAACTTAGAGCAGACAGAAAAGTTATGCAGATAATCGGAGGAGGAATTTAAAATTTGAGAAAGACGATCAAGTATTTCTTAAGGTCACCCATTTCAAGAGAATCAACAGGTTTGGCAAGTGGGAGAAATCAAATCCCCGGTTCATTAAGCTCTTTAAAATTTTAGACATGATTGGTATGTCCGCCTACAGACTAACACTACCTCTAGAGCTATCCAAAGTCCATAATGTCTTTCATGTGTCCATGCTATGCAAGTACAATTTGGGCCCCTCACATATCCTGTCCCACGAGTCTTTTTCACTCCAGGAAGATCTATCATAAGAAGAGGTACCAGTAAACATTATAGACCGAAAGAGTAAACTACTTTGTAATAAAGAAATTCCCTCGTCAAGGTCCTATAACAGAATCATACTCAGGAAGATGCCACTTGGGAACTAGAATTAGACTTCAGAGCCCACTACCCCCAGTTGTTCGACTGAGTGAGAGGGTGATAAATTTGAGGGACCAAATTTTCTTAAGGAGAGAGAGTTATAATACTCAGGCCTGAAATTTGGCTCGGAATGATTTTTCTTTTTTTTTTAAAAAAAAGTTTAAAGTAATTTTATTTATTTTAATTTTATTTTATTGAATTTTTTTTGAGAAAAATGAATTAGGGATGAAATTGAAAGCAATTTTGGAAAAAAATGGTGAAATTTTAAGTTCAAAAGGTGTTTTTGAAAGAAAAATTAGAAACATGGGGTTAAAATGCAAAATAGGAGAAATTTGGCCACGTAGGATGGCTCAGTCAGTAGCCACGATGAACCAGAGCAGGCTGCGTGGCAAAACACGCTGACATCGGCACCACGCGGCCACATGGGCTATTTGCGTGTATGGCGATCCGACATTCCCAATCACGTCTCGCGCACACAGACGACTCAAATGCATTCCCTCTTTATATGCGATCGAACGGACGAAATCAATTGCGATGAACGGTCCAGATTCACCCACACAATCGGCCTAAACAAGAAATGATCGGACAACTCTCCTCACTCCACGTTGATGCGGACGTACGACCCAAATCGATGTGGGATGGGTATTTAAACATCGTGTCTCAGGGAACCCTAACCTTAGCCGTGCATGTCCTCATTGGAGAATAAGAACCAGACACCGGAGAAGAAGAACTAAACACCAAAAAAGGAGACCGACCCCCAGCCGCTACCGCACCGGAGCTACTGCCGACCGCTAAAAAAGGTAAAAATTTTCCCCTTCCCGTTTGGAATTTGATTTCGAGTCTCTCTGTGGCTATATCAGAGCAAAAGGGACAGTGGGTGAGTCAAAATTTATGGACAAAGCTCGGCAAAGTCGCCGCAGCCAAACTATAAAACCCTCCGATAAGCCCTTTCCCGTTTCCCGTCACGCTTCTTTGACTATTGTGTTCACTGTCTTTTTTTGTGCAGGTTAGCCAAAGAAGAAACCCCAACCGTGAAAGGAGAACAGTTGAAGTCATCAAACCTGAAGACCCCCCCTCCCACCGGTATCTTTGTTTTTTTTTTATTTTTTGGTCAACCGAGCCTCATAACATGTTTTTTTGCAAGGATACGTGTAAAACTAGCCAAAATTGCCAAATCTGCCAAAACTAGCTAGGTTAAGCTAATCGCACTGTGGGCG